GGTGTTAAACAGCGCACCATAAGCAATTTCAAGATTGGAGTTTATCCCATCTTGTTTATCATCAATAGCCATGAGACAAAGGTCATCCTTCGTTGCTTTTTTTTTCACTTTTGGTGTTATAGCTTCACTCTCACTCCAAGTAGCAACGATAGCCTTCTTCTCTTTATTTCACTTGAGGGCTATTAGTTATTACGTGTTCTAACTTGTTACAAACAAAAAAAAAGTTTTTCTCAGTCTTGTTTGATTCTCCCTTAATTTTCATAAAAGTTTCTCTTTTTCACGATTTTCTTCAACTTTCTTAAGATGAAAGCAAATTCCTCTTCATCATTACTTTCTCCCTCACTATTTTCATTCAATGGAAACTTGAAGAGCATTGGTTTTTTACGCAAAACTCAATATCAATAATGCAATCTGAATTCACACATACACAATTAGCATAGAAACTTAATCCCTAAATAACTCTTCCTATTTAACTCACAATCAACATGTAACTAAAACTAAGATAATAGAGATAAATAGATTTATTAAAAAATTATAAGAAATATCTTGATAAGTTAAAATCAACTCAGAAATTTTTTTGGAGAAATGTCATAAGTTATCTTAATAAATAAACACTAATTCTCTATACAACAAGAAGGCTGAAGAAACCTTATAAATAACACATTCAAGCTAATGACTTTGAAGAAATATTCTTAATTTTAAATGAATGGTAAAACACTTCCAATAAGGTATATTTGTAAGCAATTTCAACAAGAGTCATAAGAGAAGACATTAACTTTAAAGGATGATTCTTAACCAATTACAGATAACAGCTACTCTAAGTGACAACATCATAAATTACACATGTTTAAACATATTTTAAGAGTTATTCTCTCTTCCATTGGCTGACCATGCATTGATCTTTATCCTTTTGAAGTCTAGGCCATGATAAGAAGAAAACTTGGTAAAGACTTTGTGGAAGAGTTGGCAACCTCCATGCTTGGTAGGATGAGTAGAACTCTTGATCTCTAATTTGAAGTGAAATATATCCATGATTTTATGGGATGAGAATCCTTGATTGGCCATATGTTTAATATGTTTTTCCATATGTTTATCATGCCTTCAAAAGAGAAGTGAGTAGCTAAGAGTCTTTTAAGAAGAGTGGGCGGCTTCTTCATGTGAAATACTTGAGAGTCCAAGACTAGGAGGACTCTTTTGGTGGCTGCTTACTTGTAAACACCTTATAGAATAAATAGTCGAGCATCCCTAAGCTTTAGGACTCCTAAATACTCAAGTTTGATGACTTGAAGATGGATAAAAGCTCTTAGGAAGGGGCTAGCAAAAAGTCCATGATGTGTAGGACTCTTTAATATTCGAGTATGATGAGTTGTAAATAAGTGTATGGCCACTTCTCCTATTGGTTTCCTCATGAACTCGAGCTTGATTTCTTCTCATGGGGCCTAAATTATACCCCTTAAACTCATGAAGTCGCGACCTTCTATGTGATCTCCCAGAGCCCATGAGCTTCCATATGATCTCTCATACGGCCGTGAGCTTCCATGTGACCTCTCATATGGTCATGAGCTTCCATGTGACCTCCTATATGGTCATGAGTTTCATGTGAGCTTGACTTTTATTTTAGTTGTGAACTCTCGTGTGTCCTTGAGCTCTTATGTGAGCTTGAGTTGTATCTAGGCTGTGAGTTATGACATATGCCAGATTAATCTTCATTAGTTTCCCTCTTCATTTCATCTTCTTCTCTCCTCTTTATGATCAAGTCATGGGTCATAAGAGAACCCAAAAACTCATCCAAGCTAAACTTATTGAGGTCCTTTGCCTCTAAGAATTTTACAACCTTTGTATCTTAACATCTTGGCAAACATACAGAAATTTCTCATAAATTAATTATTAAAATAAAGCTTGTTAATTGTTTTTATTGTGTTTGTAATATTAGTAGACCTTGTAAATATTGTCAAGATTATTCATGCTCACTTATTTTTAATAATTTATTATTATCCATGAGCAAGTCAACTTTTGATTCTTTTACTTGATGGATTCCTTCATGAGCTACTTGTAACTTGTCATATATTTTTTTAGTTCATTCAAATGTGGATACTCTATTAAACTCATTAGTAAGGAGTCCATAATAAAGTATGTTTATAACCTTAGCATTTAACTATATTATACTAACCTATAATCATTTTCATCCCATTAATCTTTTTATTTTATTACAATTTGGTCACCTATTTTCCTAAAGGAACATGTGATCTATTTTGTGCTTGCCATTCTAAGATTTTTTTCTCTAAATAATTAACTCACTAAATAGAAATGAGACTCTGATATCACATGTTGTTCCAAATAGTGATGTGAGCTAAAAAGGGGAAGAGATGGGAGTTAAGTGGGTTTATTTAAATTTTAAGAATGTTCAGTTAATTTCAAACCTAATAACTCAACATATCTTACTATGTTGATTGTGTGAATTATTGATGTAATTAACTTATCTTAAGTTTGATATATTAAATATAATAGAAATAAATGCAAATAAGTAAATATGATATACAGAGAGAATACAAAATTGAATTATAGAGGTTCAGACACCAATATGCACCTACATCCTTACCTTAAGCCAATTGCTTGAGTATTTCAATTATCTTCACCAAGTTCTTATATAATGCTTGTTTGTCAAGGCACCTAATTTTGTTTCTTATAACTGTTCTCCCAAATACTTCTTAATGAAAGAGTATCCCATGCTCTCAAATAAATCTCCTTTTCAATCTTAAAGAAAAATGAGTAGAAATATAAGATTTATCTTTTCTCCCTCACAAAATAATATATATTTCAAGTTGAAAATTTAAATGAATTAACTAAGGCTCAAGAAGATGACGAAGATGATTTTCAAGTATAAAATACATCCTTAAGAATTCAAATATTGAAGTAGCTCAAAAAGTTTTCATCAAGTTGTAATTAAGGCACCAAAAAAGTCATTTATACATATGAAGTTAGAAACTAACCATTACTCATGTCCTAAAGTAGTTAAGAGGAATAAATAGTCAGTTTTTGAATGTTTTCTCTGAGTTTAAAAAACTTAGTTTATACTTAATAACATGATGCAAATGTGTTTTAAATGTGATCGCACATCATTTAATTTTATGATTGTTTTTTGTGAAATTGAAAAACTCAAACAGTATTCATTGAGACTTGAAAATGATTCAAGTGAGATTCAAATATACATATAAATGGTTTCAGAAAAATTTATTTGATATAAAATTTTCTCATTGTGTGCCTTTATAATTTTTTCTTGAAAAATAAATTTTTAAATACTATTTTGAAAATCTTAAAATATTTTAATCATATTTCTTGAGTCATAAAATTTAATTTTTAATATCTCGACTATAATGGCCCCGAAAATTTAAATGAAGATGTATGTATAAAAAAAATCTTAAATGCGGAAGCGTAATAAAAATTTTGATTAACATCTCTTACACAATAACAAAAAACGTATCCAACATATGAAAGAATAAGCTGATTAAAAGAAATACTCGAAATAAAAATTATAAATAGAACTATAAAGTCTCTAGACGTCTAACTCGCCGTCTTCCTGTGGAACGGGCTCGGGAACCACGTCTTCTTGATATGAAATGGTTAAGTAAGGAATGAGCTACACTAACTTAGAAAGACATCACACTATCTCACTGCCACAGAAGTAAAGGTTGATAAAAAATAAAAACAACCAATAGAGCATAATTTATAACAACTCATTTATTAATAATAAAAACCTTTACTGGCCACTTACCTCGGTGAGATTTGTGAAAATAACATATGAAGACAATAGTATTATAACCATCATAAAATCATATATACTTAATAGTATAGCACGTGTCATACTTTTGCACTTCAATAATCAGATAACAAATTTCCTCTTTTACCAACTTATTAGTATATATGGGGATCCATAGGGGAGTCCTCGCTACACGTGAATCATTAACATTAATAAGTTGATTCCAGGGCCGTCCCCATACCCCGTCTAGTATAGGCGCTAAAACACATAAGGTCTGCATACCCCGTCTAGTATAGGCGCTAAAACACATAAAGTCTCCATACCCCGTCCGATATGAGAGACCACGTTTCCGGTAGGGTTCCCTACGGATTCGGTCCGTCCACCATCTCTCATGATATCTAGTCAGGCTGTCCACATTATCCATTTGTCACTTCACATATCATTTTTTTCT